TCACACCAGTTTTAAAATATAGGCCGCCTACTTTGACCGCAAATCAACTTACAAATACCCCTTTTGTATCATATTATCAACTTATAATTACATACAGATCCTATTTGCTCGTGATTAAACAATTATCATGTTTCAGCTTAGGCTGTTCATTCTGAAGCCATCTCCGTCTAATTCCACTTCTCTCACTCCTTTAGATTTGAAAAACCTTCCAATTCGGATCGCCCACACATACATACATATGTTTGTATAAATATGCACCAAGCTATTTAATTTGTGATTAGTGATCGATTTTATAGCTTAATATGACATCGTCCAAAACAGTTAGGCTTCTTTTTATTATTAATCTTTTTTATAGTGAGCCAAATATATATCGGATCAAATATAACATAATCGACATGAAGACGATAAGCAAGATAGGAGAATCTTTTGTTTTTAGATCATCTTCGATCTTTGGTAGGTTTGGATTGAAATTCTTACTTGCTCATTCAAAAGTTTTCTTCTTGTCTGTAACTTCTCTATCGTCTGATCTGGAACCATGTCTCTAGTTATTGATGTAGAGTGTTCTTGCCAGAGGTTGAACTAGTCCCCTCTCGTCTGATCTTGTAACCGAGACATGGATCTTAAATCAGTCAGCTTCCCCATCCTGTGCTTTAATGTTGATTGTGTTGAGACCTTTATCTCTTTGCTTGTGTTGTTTAAAGAATTCATCTCCTTTTTTTGTTATCAAATATTATACTACCTCCTGCATCTAGTTTGTAGTGCAATTTATATTATAAACTAGATTTTATATTTAGAACTAAAAATAGTATATCAATCATCATCATACTAGCATATCTTTTTAAGTATTGTTTTAACTTAACCCAAAATCTTATTTTAGGTTTAAAAAAAAACTGAGTTTGCAGTGTGCAAATGTTTTTATTGTATTTTCTAATAATCTCTCTCTTATGAATGAGAGTATTTTGAAAAAAAAATTAATTTTTACATATTTATTACTTTTAACTAATTTTTTTATTATAAAAAGTGACGGAGGGAGTATTAAATTATTGGATGAGCTGGAAACTATTGCCAAGGAGAATTAGTGGCGGCGGCGTGCCAGTAGCAATTATTTTAAACTGCCTCTCAACCTGTTTAGCAAAAACAAGCATAATTAATTATGACTTGTTTATTATAAATAGACCTAGAGATAATATTATTAATTTAGCATATAGTTGTCAATAATCTTATAATCTACTGGTATAAACACTCGCCCTGTAAATAGAAGGTTGTGAGTTTTATTCCTACTAACCTCTGGCTGTTAATGTTTGTTTTTCTAATTAAAAAAAATTGGCATTTTGCTAATCAAATTTGATTAGCAAAGATACACGAACTAGGGAAACAAAAATTGAGTGGGGTAAACAAAACGTTAGATCAAGTTGTTGTAAGTGAATCATTGATGTGAAAAGATGTATTGCATGGTATTGTTAATGCATGATTTTTTTGACTGAGGATTAGTCCACAAGAGACCATTCTGGTCAATTCCTTGAGCGTTTAGATTCAGATTTCACTTTATGTTATTATTGTTATTTTATCTTCTGTTTCTGTATTCGAGTCATAGGAAACAAAATTATTTCTTTTTTTTTTTTTAACAAATGAAGTTCTCAGATAGTTGTTCATAAGTAATCATTATTAATTTAGTAGTATTTCTCATGTGAGTTGTCAGTCGTAAAACTAAAGTATGATTCTCGCATCGCTCTTAAATATGAGTTTTAATTCTTTTAAAAGAATATGAAGTCTTGTTTAATGACTTTTCTTTTTAACAAAATTCCCTACCACCCAAAGGTTTGAGTAGGTATGTAAACGAGTATAGTCTTGTTTAAGATCTCTCTCTCTCTCTCTCTCTCTCTCTCTCTCTCTCTCTCTGTGTTTTTTCCCCTTCTTTTCTCGTTTATGTTTGCAAATGTTTCCAACAGATGGTGGTACACATGCAAACAGAAACCCCCCCCCCCAAAAATATGGTTAACTCACCTAATCAGATTGAGTTTTGTCAGGCATAATTAGAAATAAATCTTGTAAAAATATTTTCTACATTCATATGGATTTGAACTCTTGACCTTGTGTTAGCTTGTTTCTCTTATCGGCCACCAACCCTCCCCTTCCACTAACTCATTCTTAAACATTAACAATCTCACTTTTGGTATGTGAGATACTCTCTTTATTCCCTTTTATAAATGGCTTTTTTTTTTGTTATGACATGTTCTTATTTATTAAAAAAAAATTCTTCTGATCTTTGATATAAAACATAATTAACTAATTTGAGTAAATTAAAAATGTTAATTAAATTAGTTAATATGATATGTTTGTTCTAAAACACTCTAAATATTTTTTTAACTCTATCATCGTCCTCCTTTACTTAATTATTGTTGGGAGAATATAAATAAGATTAATTTAGAAAAAATTGATTAAATTTTTAAATTTTTTATTTTATGTTAATGTAAATTGTTCATATGATAATCCCCACTTTTTGCTCCACACCACATTCTTTTTTTTTCACACACTTCTTTTTTCTTGTAATTTGTTTATCTCTCCTGTGCTCTCTCCCCTCACAGACAAGGTACTTCAAAAAAAAAAAAAAGTTATATTTTTATATGTTTTTTGTCTAACCAATTTTTTTTTATTAATGTAATTGAGTTAATTGTCACAGAGGGAGTAAAATGTTGGTGTCCTCGCATCTTACTGATTTTGTAGACGGAAATGGGAAAAGAAAGCAGATTTTGATATTTTCTTTAAAAATTTATATATTCAGACGCCGTTAGAAATTAGAAGTGTTCTGGTATAATTTTCTTTTTTGCCATCCTGTTCTCATATGAATATGATATTTTGTCCTTACATATATATATTTATATATATTCCAAGTCAAATAAATTCATCTTGGTCTCATGATGCTTTCTCAGAACTTCATTTTAATATTATTATTATTATTTTTTTGCCATCAATATTACTATTTATTTATTATTTATTATAAATCCCAGCCAATACTATCTCTCTCGGTCAAAAACCAATCTTCCCGCCCGCCTCCCACCAACGACCCAATGAGGAAACAACGAACCATTGTCTTCTTCCTCCTCCTCTTCACCTTCATCCTCTCCTCCTTCCACCGTACGACGTCGTTACCTTCCAACGCCTCCCTCTCTCTGTGCCTCAACACCTTCGACTGCGGCAACATTCACGACATCCCCTACCCCTTCACGGGCGCCGACCGCCCCTCCTTTTGCGGCCCGCCGGAGTTCCATCTCTCCTGCCGGAGCGATTTTCCCGAGCTCAACATCTCGTCTGTGAGTTACCGAGTCCTCAAACTCGACCCAATCGGACGTGTTCTCACCCTAGCTCGCATAGACCTCTGGAACAAAACATGCACTCACCACTTTGTCAATTCCACCTTTGACCAAACCAACTTTAGGTACGGTTCCGGGAACGAGAATCTCACTTTGATCTATGGGTGTGGTTCTTCTCCTGAGATTAACAAAAAGCCAGAGAATCTGTTTGAGTGTGCGTTTAAGGGGAATCGAAGTGATTCTTATTCTTTGATTGGTCCGTTGCCGCAGGACCCTGCTCTTAGTATTTTTCGTTGTGGTACTCGAGTTGAGGTGCCGATTCTTCAAAGTGAAGTCACTAGGCTCACGACCAATCGGTCGTTACTTAGGGAGGTTTTGATGGAGGGTTTTAATGTGAATTATAGCAGCCCTTACGAACATGAGTGCTTGAAATGTGTTGATTTTGGTGGCCGATGTGGATTTGATTACGATTTGGAGGAACCGATTTGCATTTGTGGGGATCACCTGTGTCCCTTACAAGGTATCTTGAACTTTTTCGGTTCGTTGATGCCTGTGATTGGTAGATTTACTTCGCGATGATGCTGTTTATATGTAAAACTCGCGGAATTCGAATGGAAACACGTACTGTTTCGAAAAATGAGATGGTATGAATAGATTTGAAAATGTTACTAACATTGCAGGTTAAGTTAAGTTTCCCGTGAACTCTCATGCTATGCAGTAAGCATGAGATATTAGTTGCCACCTCTGAATTTCCGAATTTCCTAACTGCCAAACAATCTGCCAGAAACTTCGACTGTTTTGGGGACAGACGGAATGAAATTTCCCGTTTTATTCTCGTTAATTAAGCATCATTAATACATAGTCACCGTGTGAAACAATTAATAGGGGCATTTTATGGGGAAAAAATTAAATCTGAAACTCCTTGATATGCATAACTTAGTTATTTGTCTTTTCATGAAGAGGTTGGGAGGGAGTATCATGTTAGATTTTAGGCATTAACTATACTTTTGGCTTAAGCCATTTGGTACGACTCACCTCTAACATTACATATCTTAGACTCTCTAATTTGTATATGTGAGACTTGTCTATTAGACTGGTACATTTTACTGTTATTATCATTTTCTTGCTTTCTTTTGAAGCAAGCAAACTGAACGCCGAAAATCTGGTATATTTTGGAGCTTTTTAGCAAGCTGAGAGATATAGGAGAGAGCGTGTTATATCACTGAGTTTGACTTTTCAATAATAGTTGAATTCCTCTATACAGTCTTGTTTTTTATATATGGAAGATTTGAAACTTTGAAATTACATGTGTGCAAGATTTTCATTAATCATTACACCATTTTTGGGTGCATATGCCGTTTGAAAACTCCTCGCCTTCAATTTTCACTTTCGTTAATGAATAGCAGTGAAGCTTTGCTTCCAAACTGGAGCACTGTAATTGATAAACGTCTATCAAATGGTCAACTTCTATGTACATAAAGTAAAAAGTGACAAATGTTGCTATCAGTTTCTCTTGTACAAACTCTCCCTTCAATTTAAGATAAGAAAATGAGGATGATGTTTTTCGATCGTTTATTGATTATGTTCAATTTGAGAATGAATCTTAGCTGACAATCCTGTCTTTCTTTTGTTTGTCTTCATGTCATTCAAGTTTTGAGTTTTGACATTTATCTTTGTTGTATTTTTCAGAGAACAGAACAGCCCTTATAGCAGGTAGCCTCTATTGTGATCATGTATGGATTAGTTTTCTTAAGGAGCAGCTGTTTGGCATGATCTTACTAATTTCTTGAATTATCTTCAGGCACTAGTGCAGCTGCTGCAGTTTTTTTAATTCTTATTGGATTATGCTTGTTCTTTATCGTAAGACGAAGGAAAAGAATTGCAGAACAATCACAAACCAAGGACCTCTTCATGGCCCCTTATAGCAGAGGCGTTGCTACCTCCACAACAACTTCATCTCAGAGTGTTCCATCTTACGTTACCTCAATGACTGAATCTAAGCAATACAGTTTCTTATATGGGGTTAAGGTGTTTAGCTATGCTGAACTTGAGGAAGCCACTAAAAATTTTGATCCTTCCATGGAACTTGGTAATGGAGGTTTCGGCACTGTTTATTATGGTAAGAATATAATATCATCTTTTTCTTATGGATTCTCAAACACTAGCCCTTGTACACTTGCCATCAATTTCCCTTAACCATTCAGCTCTGATTGCTGATCAGGCATTCTGAAAGATGGACGTGCAGTTGCAGTGAAACGGCTTTACGAAAGCAATCTGAAACGTGTTGAGCAATTCAGGAATGAAGTTGAGATTCTAGCTCGACTCAAGCATAAAAACCTGGTTGCACTCTATGGATGCACCTCTAGACATAGCCGAGAACTTCTCCTTGTCTATGAATACATTCCTAATGGAACAGTGTCAGATCATCTCCATGGGAATCGATCTAAGTCTTCTTTGCTCCCTTGGTGTACCCGATTGAACATTGCAGTAGAAACAGCTGAGGCCCTAGCCTACCTCCATGAATCAGATGTCATACACCGGGATGTTAAAACCAATAACATTCTCCTAGACCATAACTTTAAGGTCAAGGTTGCTGATTTTGGTCTTTCGAGGTTGTTCCCAAATGATGTTACCCATGTGTCAACTGCCCCACAAGGAACACCCGGTTATGTTGACCCTGAGTATTATCAGTGTTACCAAGTCACCAGTAAAAGCGATGTTTATAGCTTTGGAGTTGTCTTAGTTGAGCTCATATCATCCTTAGAGGCCGTGGACATCACCAGGCACCGCCATGATATAAATTTGGCCAGTCTTGCTATAAACAGAATTCAGAATCATCAAGTTCATGAGTTGATTGATCCACTTCTAGGGTTTGAAAGAGACAATGCAATCAAGCAGATGACAACAGGAGTTGCAGAGTTGGCCTTTAGGTGTTTGCAGCAAGATGGAGACATGAGACCCTCCATGAATGAGGTACTGGAAATATTGAGAGGAATCCAAAAAGAAGGGTATGGTGGACATGAAGATCTAGAGAAGAATAATAAAAGGGTGGATGAAATCATGCTTTTGAAAGATGCCCCTCCTCCATTCTCACCAGATTCAGTTGCAGATAACTGGGTTAGCTCTTCTACTACTTCTACTTCCTCATAACTTCTATGATTTCACTGTTGACCTAAATGAGATGAGGTGATAATGCACATTGATATTTGCGCGGTCTGTATATAATATATATATAGAGAGAGAGTAACTTACCCAAATCTCTGTGCTCCGTGTATGAATTAGTAAATCGGCTCATTCATCTACTGTTTCAATCTTCTGCTGATGTTTGGACAAGTCCGCATATAACGCTCATCTGTGATACGGCGTCGTGGTTCCGCCCCATCTGTCCCAAACGTACAAACCCAATTTATCTCTCCATCTCACTTGAGCACTGGCCACTGTGAGCCTATCTTATCTGTACTCTTTTCTTTTTATTTTAAACAAAAAAAATTTTAATATTTAAATGTATTAAATAAAAATAAAGGTTTAAGTACAATAATTCTCAGTCTCATAAACTAATTTTTGTTGTATCTAGTATCTAAAAATATTTTCTAATAGTATCCAATATTCTAAAAGTTAAAATAATTGTTTATGCAATTTTATTCTCAAAAGTATTTTTCCCCGTAGCAATGAACGCTTTAGTGCTATCTTTTGACTAAAAAAATGATACTCATTCCTACCCAAAAAATACATTAACGTGTTAAATGTATCAAAAAATTATTTTAAAATACTGAGTATTCAATTAACAATATAGAGGATAGTTTAAGGATAAAATTACACTAAAAATTATTTTAGAATAATATAATGCTATTCAAAAATTACAGTTGAGGCTCAATTTGCCATCACGATTGAAATCACTTATAAGCACGTTTCACATAAGCCAAGGTAAATTTCTTTCATATATTTACCTCGTATTCTATATATCACGATTGAAAAACTATTTATAAACTATTCCAAACAAGCTCTTCATGTGCCAAATGCACTAATAATTAGCTTATAACATTGAGGGGTGTTTCGAAAATTTTAAAAAGTTTTTTTTTCCGTAAATCAATACAAACTCCTCTACATATTTATTTTGTATATTGTAAAATCACTTTTAAAAACATAATTTGGTTCCTATTAGAAAAAGTGGTTTACGATACTAAATGTTACTTAATCCTTTAATTTTTGTTTAATACATTAGAATACTACGTAGAATACTGGAAAAGAGGTGCATGTCATGTGCTCAAAAGCCAACTTAATGGTGTGTTCATTGTTTCTTTTCTTTTCTGTTTTCTTTTTGTTCTTTCTTTTTTGGGTTGCTAAGATTATTATTATTCACTGTTTCTTATCCTTGACGGATTGTCTTATAATATCTTCTTCATCAAGCAACATCGAATGTTTGTCACAACCAAAGTCAACAAACAAGACAAATTTTTGCCCAAAATAACAAAAACTTAATTACATATTTAATGACTAACAGATTTAATCTTTACATTAATCGTCCATTCCTTTCGTTGATGCCATTGACAAAAGCTACAATCAACGGCCAACAAACAATTTAATTGTCTTTTTGGCAAAAAATTATTTATTTCTTATAAAAAAGAATCAAATGAAGAAATTAACATTCTTAAGAATTTATTTTCTTAATAATACCAGACTGACCTGAAAATTTTATCCTTCATATCTCTTTAAAGGCATTGTTCTAATTTATGAGCAAATTTATTCATACTCACTCTTTTCATAATCTAAGGGGGTGTTTGGATAGAAACCAAACCATGGTTTCAGAAGTGCTTTTACGGATTACGAAGTAAATATGTGGAGGAGATTATCTCGTTTTGCGGAAAAGTGATTCTGAAACCTAGGTTTTGGTTTTGCCAAACACCCCCTAAGTCCCATTTAGATAATCAGTCCAAAAAAATTTCCATTTTTTGCCATAAAAAAAGTCCCATTTAGATGAGTATATAGAACGTTAAATCTTTCCCCTCATTTAATTTATCCTTATCTACATTAAAACTGCATTTTAAACTAGTTAGCATATTTTCCACTCCCTTACTTAGTGTTGGTAAAAATAGTTAAATATAACTTATTTTTTGGATCACGGGATTAAATATCCATCAATTTTTCTTAACAATGCAAGAATTTTCACTTACTATAATAGCTTTATTATGAATTATGATACCCTTTAATTGTTTTTAAATGCGTTTTTCCTATAGGATTCAATTATTAAACCATTTTTAATGAAAGTTGATTGTTATTGGCAAAAAAAAAAAAACACCTCTGGCTGAAATTTCCCAAAATACCACATTTGAGCTTCTTAATTAAATCAGACAAGAGAAAATGAAGATGCAAAACAAACTCTCCAAATTCTAGTGGTGCTGTCATTGTAAAACCCTAAAAAAAAAAAAGGAACATTTTTTCACCAAAAACAAAAATACAACTTTGATCCTTTAATTTTGCATGAGATTTCATTTGATTTCTTAATTTTATAATGTTTTAGTTTTTTAAACTTAACACCGTTAGTTTTGTTCACCAAAAAAAGGAGGAGTGGAGTAGGCACGTCGCCTTTTATGAAAAATCAGACTACACTGGACAATCATACCATACCGGTTTGAATTGTTGATGGAACTTGTCAATAACTTTGTTTTGACAAAAGAGGGAAAAAAACTATTTGTCACAGTTGAATCGAGATAGATATTGAGTTAGAACCAGAAATTAAACTACAAATTAGAACGGTCTTTATAAAACCAAACAATTTTTTTTGGGCATGACGAAAAATGTTGAAGAATTTAATAAAACATACAAAAATTTTATAAAAAAAAGGCCTTCTCAAAAAGTTTAATATATTTTTAGTGAATCTGTAGTCATATAATATTATTTTATTGAGAACTTCATATATTGTGACGCTATTATATTGACCATTAAATTTATCATAAGTTTATTTCTTATATATAATATTATATACCTATATAATTAATTTTTTATTTAATTATTATCTTACCGATTTGACTGCGGGTCAAATTGATTGATCATGAAAACTACATCTATGAATCGTTAGCTTTTTTAATTTGACGTTCAATTCGGCTTTTACAATATTACCCAAGACTCTTCATTTTTAAAAAAATAAAAATAAAAAAAAATCCATACAACCTTGCCGCAAGAATATTAATTTAGAGTCTTCTTTTGGAGGGTATAGAGTTAGACGACTGGGGATAAGAAGGAAGGATCTTGCGAGTCCAAAATGGTCAAAGGAAATTGGGAGGAAGGCGGAGCACTTGATAGTGAACACAAAGTTGATTGCAATTGCAAGTAAGACTTGTAATAAGCCAACAGTAAAATCTCTTGGGAATATTTGGAGAAACCATTTTGAGTACCTATATTTTTTTTTAATTTTTAAATTGATACCTATGTGTTTTTTCTTAATTAAATCTTTAATTTTGTCCTATTAGCAATGTTAACCGTTGTATAAAGATTAAAAATGCTAATTGAACAAAGTTACAAAAACTAATAATATTACTAAAACAGTAAAATTAAATGAAATATAAAAAAAAAACACATAGGTACCAAATTAAAAATTAAAAAAAAACTCCAATATAAGTTTTCCTTTAAGTTTTGGCCAGATAGATGAGTATCTTTCAGGTACATCAACGGCTCACATTAAGGGATTTAACACTTTTCATGCCTAAACAGAAATCGAATCCCTTATCTTGATTAAGGGAGAATGAATTCATACCACTCAAGCACACATTCCTAGTTAGTTGAGTAAGACAATTTCACACTTATAAATTGAAACATAAAACATTAAAACTATATTTATATAAATTAATTTGAAAGTATTCACGTAAATTTTTTACCTAAAAATGTATTTTAAATTAAAGTATAAATTAGGTTTTTCCAAAAAATATATATATTAGATCACTAGTAATTAAAAAAAGGAAAAACGCATGCCACGTGCCACAGCCACGTGTCTGCCAGTGTTTATATTCCACCGAGAAAGCCCTTCGTATTCTCAGTATTCCTTTTTATTTCCTGCTTCAGGCCACCTTCTATCCCTTTCTGTCTTTTACTGTAACATCCCTCAGTCATAAAGCTCAAAAGCCGATCGAATCGGAATCGAATCGAGTCGAATGGCCTCAGATCTCACTTTCTCTCTCTAGCAAGCAATCCTTCGCTTCTCCCTTACTTAATCTAATCTATCTCCCCTTTTTCAATGGCCACACTCCAGAAATTCAAGCTCTTAGCCACCCAGTGCGCCGTCGCCGGCAGCCCCACTCGCAGCCCTACCACTAGCCCTGTCATCCACCTCCGACGCCGCAAGACCCTCCGCATGTTCCTCAGCCGCCCTGACCGCCGCCGATTCGCTCGCTGCGAGGAAGCTCCTGTAGACCTCGCCGATGAAGATCCGACGGAAATGAACGAAAAGGAGGTCAGAGTTCGACGGAAGCTCAAGGATCTGTTTGTATCTTCTCCGCCGCCGGTCGATGATGAAAAGAGGCGCCAAGATGAAGAAAGGCGAGAGCAGGACGGATTCTCGCCGGCGATAGCGAATTCCGGCCTCAGCAGCAGATTCCGAACGGGTTCGGCATTCCGACGTGGCGGAACCACATCTCTCAGACCTGTCTCATCGGCGTTCCGATATAGATTCCTCAAGAGAGCTTGGCGACCTGTGCTCGTCACTATCCCTGAGTAGGCACTATGAAAACTTTGTGGAGATAAATCGAAAATTTCCCGAATTTTTTATTTGTTTATTTTCGTCTTTAGAAAATGTTAATATATTTTCCACGGCGAAGAGCGTGGCGGTGGAGATACTCAATTCGTCAATCGGACGGTTTTGACGCCTCGCCGCCGTACCGATGCTAACGTGCGCGGCGTAGTTGATGATGCTAACGTAAGCACCTGAAAAAGTGCGTATTTTAACCTGCGAGGAAAACGGGAGCAAAAGCGTGAGTTGCCAGCCTCGTGGTTTGTACCAGTGAGATACGCTTCCGTCTCTACGACGTCGTAGCCTGTAGCGGTTTGTGGATCTGGATTTTTGAACTTTTTCTATTTTTATTTTTCTAAATAAATCTTAACGGGTTTCTTGACTGTGCTCATCGTTTTCGAGAATCGTGATTAAATGCCCCATAGGTATATAATTTTTAATTAGTTATTTTATTGAATGGGTGAAAAACTTTGAAAAAAACAAAATAAGAATATTCTGAAGTGAGAAAATGGAGAAAATGTAGAAGTTTTCACCCCCTTTTTGTCTCATTCACAGGACTGGGAGCTTGTTTTTGGCATTTTGTAGTATTTGCATGGGGTATCTAATGCTTCTTTTTGTCTAATTTATTGATAACAAATAAAATTAATTAAAAATATTAAATAGTTTACAAATATATTTTTATTTTTAAATATGTTTTTATAATAAATGAAAAACAGGATGAAAGAAAATATGTGGAGAAATGTGATAAGAGAGAAATAACTGGGAGGTAACAATAAAAAAATACATTTAATGTTAAGGCAAATCTAAAATAAAGCCTATAAAATAGGTCATAGTCTTATAAAACCGGAGGGAGTATTTTCAACTGATTTAATTTATTCATTTCGATTACAGTCATTTAATCTAATTTTGCAAATTTTGGGATGAAATTTTTATCAAATAAGGTCATTTATTTGTTTTCCAAGGAAGATTTTGATTCAATTAAAAAATTATTTTTGATCAAATGGACTTTTTTGCGAAGCACATGTATCATCCTATTAAAAGCAATATTGTTCTCATATTATGGTATATTAAATGTGAACTTTAGTTTGAACTTTAGTTTGTTGTGAGAGGCTAACAACTTATCTTAGCCCAACCTTTTTGATGTATGGAATTTTTTTAGCTAAGCATAAGTATCTTTTTATTAGAAAAAAAATCTTATTTAAAGAATTATTAGACACTAAATATAGGTATTTTTAATAATAAGAATTCAAACTTTAGTTTTTTATGCGAGAAACTAGCTCCTCTCATTGTATCCAAATCTCCAAATTTATTGCATTGCAAACAGAGAAACGACATTCAGAAGATTAAGAAAACCCCATAGGACGACAACCGTACAAAGCACAGATCTAAACGCAAAAAATCACGAAACAAAACCACAATCCACTCCGCACACTGAAAATAACGGACGACATTAGCATAAATAAATTATTGGCATATAGAATTCATGAACGAGTATAGTGTTTTTCTTCACAACATTTTTCAATTCCCATCATATTAAAAAAATTAAGTAGGATTAAATGAATTACAATATATGATTTGTCATTATCAATTTGACAATCATGATCTTGCCAAAAAAAAGGTCAATTATGAGACTTGTTAATAAAATAAAACATACATGTAGCATTAATTAACACATAATGTATGGTAGTGATGAGGGATTTATTTACTCATTTATTTTTAAATTTTTATTAGGGTACAGAAAAAAGAATGGCTTGGATGAGGGATAATAAGATAAAGGGTGTGATGGAACTATGAAGCTTTCCAGAAAGCTGTACCTATTCAGGTTCAACGAATCAATAATCAATAATGTGCTTTCAATATTTGAGTGTGCGTATCTCAATTATTTATTTTTTGTGTGACAAGATTTTCAGCATGTTAGTTGGATCATTACTTGCCCTATAAGCTGTCTCTACTCTCCAGTCTACTCAGTGAACACCAGATTTGATTTAAGATCACTTTCTACAAACAATTTTAAAAAAAAATTTCTTAAATGTGCTTTTTTTAAAAAAACAATCATCTAAACAAATTTTATTTTTCTGTCAGAAATTCTTCTGAGATATAATTTTATAAAACTATTCTAAAGAAATTAAGAACAGAATAAGGCCTAAGTCTCTTATAATTGACATGAGCCTCTTGTTGATAATGGAAAAAAAAATTAAGCTGGAGTGTTTTATAAATGACTAAAACTGAGATATTGATAAATTTAAAAAAAAAAAAAAGGAAGAAGAAGATAATAAAAGCGAAAAGTCTGAAGGAATCCTCCGAGATAGCGATAAGAGATGATAAAGGTGTAATCTTGGTGGAGTTTGCCTCTGTCACTTGGCCAGCATCATCTTTCTTTATGTGCAGAGTTTTCACCAACTTGGAAATTTGTCCAAATAAATTTTCTTAAATCCATTTCAAACTGAATAAATTGATCACGTAATATTTTGAATCCCTGAATCTATTAATTCTAGATTAAAAAAAAGTTTGTAGATTAAAGATGTACTTCTCTCAATCCTAAATATAAGATGAGATAGAAATATCTGTTTTGATCTTGGATGTAATTTACCAATTTATTTTGTTTCCCAAATTCATGATTTTTTTCCCTAAATCCTTCCTATTAAATTGCACATGTGATATTTTAGAGAAAACATGTATTTTTTTTTTATAAATAATTGATTTACTTAAATTTTTTATTAACTACAAATTAGTTATATAAGACTTATACCTAACCTAAGACTAAAGAGAGTATTATGTGTAGTGTGGCATTGTGTGTCCTTTGTGCTACGTTGAGTAAAGAATTTGTATGGACTAAGACATAAAAAAAATATTTTTCTGACCCTAAATATAAAATCCATTTACATTATAAAATGGATCTTATATTTAGAATAGGAAGAGTATAATAATTGTTTGGCACTTGTATGAAGTGGGACCTCTTGATGGGAGTGGGCCCCATGGTACGAAAAATCAATACTACCTCCAGTCCTAATTATAAGAGCCAGTTGACTAATTTAAGAACATTAAGGAAGTAAGTTGAGTTAGTTATTTGTCCTAAATATGTGTTGTCTTTCTTAAAATATCCTTGCTAATCAAATATATTAACTAGAACTATTATTGTTAGAAGGGCTACTTTGAAAAAAAAATGTATAAATATGAGAGACAAAGTGAATTGAGGTCTTATATTTAGGATCAAAATAAAAATCAAATAAGGTATTATATTAAGAACCGGGGGTAGCACTTGTGAATGGATTTTATTTGAATGGGATGGATGTGTGTACTTTTAAAATATTTTTGTTGGGATTATTATTAAACTAATTAAGGGAGTTGCTAAAATGATGATGATGTTGTTGAGCATAATGCTTGAAGATAATAATGCATTATAGATATATTTGAATAAGTCTCTAAATAGGGACATCAACAAGAGGCATGCCCTGCCCTTTTATCATTGTGTTTGTCTTATTTTTTAAAAATTATTCTTGTTTTTGTTTTGGTTGCATAGGGACAACGTGTGAGGCCAAAATGACAATCATAAGACTTTTTAAGGGGGGAAAACATTATTTTTAGGATCTGTTCAAGGAGTGTGTTTGTGTGTACCAACCAAAATTTAGATACATTTTGTTTGTTTTGAATCTTGAGGGTGGCATTATTAATAGTTGGATGCGTGTTGTAGAAGAGAAGGTTGTACTTCCTATGGAATCAATTACCATTCCATTCACATGTTATGGGTTAAAAAATCTCAACTCGAGACTCATCATTTTACATTTAAAACTTGTTATTTTTAGGTGAAGTGTTTGGAATGCACTACAATATTAACACAACTTGTTGGCTTAATAGTCATTCTTAATTTTGACATGCAACTAGTTGGACAATCAAATCCCATCAACTTTACTTTTAAATGAAAATCCTCATGCCGATAGCCACCTTGCTTGCGGTCAATAACAGAGCTCTGTTGCCCAGTGGGGGTGGCTAGGGTGTTGGCCACCTGTAGGTCTTCAGCGGGGGGTTGTTTACTTATTTTCTTTTTACGACTGGGGGGCATATTTGTCAATTTATTTCAATTTCAAATTTTCAATTTGGGTTGGTTCTTTATCTGGGATTATGTGAATTAAATTTTACAATTTCAATGGTCTTTATTTGTTTTTCCCCCTAGAAATAAACTATTTTATTGAAAAAAAAATTAGATTATTTGTACTCCATAAGAAGAGCTGGGTAAGTTGGAACTACATATGCGGGAATGGCTTTTCACTCACAATGTATTTTTTTAAAGATTAATATCATTGTTAGCTTTTATGATTTCGTCAACTTTTGATTTTAACTTTTATAGTTTCAAATGGTTGATTTTAGTCTTTATAGTTTCATAATTTCTTTGATTTGAGTTTAACAAATAGTTCTTGTACATTAGCGGGATTCGGTTTTGGTCCTTATATATAAACTTAAATCAAATTTCATAAAACTATATAAGCAGCGACAATAATTATATAAAACCCATTTTTTTTCAATATGTGAGATCAAATTAATTACAAGTAACAACGGTGATATTATTGTGTTAAAAGGTCTAACTCAAGTGGCTATTTAATTTGAAATTAAAAATGAAAAAAAAATAAAATTAACGGAAGGGCCTTCTCATTTGTTGTTATGAAGAAAAAGGCAAAAAATGCAAACAAGAGACAATCAAAATAGTTTAACTGAATAGAGTAGCAATCAAGTCAAGTAAAAACGAATCATACTAAAGTTTAAGTTCAAAATCTTATGAATTTACGGAAAAATATGACAAGAGAAGTGCTAACTTTATTTCATGCGAGACAATTTTTTTTAATATAATTCAGAGTATCCTTAACTCACTTTATATTTAAGATTAATTTTCATCAGACAGAAATTATTAGGATTAAAATCTTTCTAATAAGTGTACTTTTCAAAATTCGAACTTTTATTATCCTCTTTATGGGGCCAATGCAAGACAATATTTA